AAATTTTTAAAGATCATGAATTCAATTTTTTTTTTTTTTGGAAAGAAATTCAAAGCGCAGTCAATGGCATTGACGTTGCTTTATGTGGGCTAAGTCAGGGAGGGGGGATTTAAGGAGTTTGGTCATCTGGAAAGGTCAGAAGATTGGCAGCTGCTTCAGTTCACTAGGCAAGGTAGGGAGACCCTAAGCCGTCCTCCCAAGGCAGGGGCTGAAGCTAAGGCCAGGAATGATGTCACATAGGCATTGCTGAGGTCACAGAAGGTTGCCTGGCCTCCCCTCTGACTCCTTGCCTGCCCCCCAGTCTCCCCAGCCAGCTGCCTCCTGCACATACCTGTCAGCACACACACGAAGGGGAGGAAGGCTCAGAGACCATCCGGCCGCTCTTAGGTACACAAAAGTGGTGGGGAAACGGGGGATGAGTCAGGACCTGGGATCCACCTGGCATTCCCAGTGCTGGGAAGGGGAGGCTCATGTGGTGGCTGTGGCAGGCGGCATGGGGATAAGCGGTACAGGGTAGGGGGCAGCAGGGACAAGGGGATTTGTTTCTCTTGCCCACTGATTTAATCTTAACCTTCATCCTCATTCCTCATTTATCCTCCCTTCCCCTCCTCCTCCCTCCCGACACCACCCCCTGCAGTGCCCACCCCCACCTCTAGCTGACCATGGCATCTGAAGCAGAGAAAACATTCCAGCGGTTTGCTGTCCTCGGAGACTCCTCTAGCAGTGGCGCTGAAATAAACAACAAGAACTTCTCCAAGCTGTGCCAGGACTGTGGCATCACGGATGGCAAGACGGTCACCTCCGCAGATGTGGACACTGTGTTCAACAAAGTCAAGGCCAAGGATGCCGGAACCATCACGTTTCAGCAGTTCACGGAAGCAATGAAGGAACTGAGCCAGAAGCGCTTCAAGGAAAAGAGCCCAGACCAAGGCCTACAGGACATTTATCACCTCATGGAGGGCAAGAATCCAGCCACCACCAGTGGTCATTGAATGAGGTCCTCTCACAGCAGCCCGGTCAGAATAAGTCCACTGGAGAAAGAAAAATCCACTGTCCCTCTGTGCCCTGGACTCCCTCCCCTTGGGTGTGGATGGCTCTGGCTAGAGCGCCTGCCCACAGCTGGCTCTGGGCCCTAAGAGAAGCGGCCCCACACCCGAGGAAGAGTTAAGAGCTACGGGGACTTGTTCCATGGATCTCAGGGTCATCTTGGGAGAGGAGAAGGAACCGGGCTGAAATCCATTCGTTGGCTTCTACCAAGCCGCAAGGGCGGGTGCCGTGGACCTTCTCACCGACAACAACAAGTACACCAGCAGCCACCACGAGCGCTTGGACGACAGTGGCAAGGGCACAGCAGGACGGGAAGAGAACTGATAACTCAGGCTATGGGAGGGCCCACAAGGCTGCTGGCACCTATGACAAGAAGAATTAGACAGGAGCCTCCTCGGGGCCTCCAAGGCCCCCTTACCCTGCATCTTTAACACCGGGGAGCTGGGGAAACAATAAACATCTGTGTGTGCAGACAAAAAAACAAAGTGTGAAAGAGTTCCTGAAAGATGAGAGGGATTGGGGAGACCTAAGAGTGAAAGGCTGCGGTGGAGGTCATATAGAAATGTCAGGTTCAAAGACTCAGGGTCAGAATCGGGGTTGCAGGGAGAGAATATCTCAAGTTGAGTAGAGAAAGTCTAGGAAAGACCAGAATGGGAGCAGATGAGGAGGGCCAGGGAAATTCCTGAAGTGGCTTAGACCCGTCCCTGATTCCTTGTATTGGCCCGTGGGTAGAGAGGAGTAACGGGTTTGGGGTCTCCGTTTCTGGGGGTCGGCGGTTTCCCGCAGACCTGAAGTCTCTGCTCAGTGAATTTGCTTTGGGCGGATATCCTTGGTATTGCGTTGGTCCGCAGTAGCCATTCCATCAACGTGTTCCACATACATTATTAGTCCATATGGAAAATAACAAACAAACACACACACAAAAACAGGAAGAATGGGATCCTGTGTCTTCCATTATGGATGGAACTGGGGGCCCTTCTCTTAAGGGAAAGCACGCAGACACACAGAGACAGATCGGGCACATCCTCACCTGCCAGTGGGAGCGAAATCATGTGCCCCCGGGGACACAGAGTGTGGAGTGATAGACGCTGGAGGCCGGGGAGGCTGGGAGGGAGAAAGGAGGAGGGATGTGGTGGAGGTTGAGAAACTGCCTGATGGGTCAGGGTTATGAGGTTCCGGCCATGAAGACCCTGAAAGCCGCAAGCTCAGCCCTTATCAGGCAACACACCCAGGGAGCCAAAGACGTACACCTGGACCCCAGAGACATATACCCCAAACAGCTTGGTGCTCCAACACGCTGATGATCACCTGACCCTTGAGCGACTCTTTCACCATCTCGGTGCTGGTGCAGGATCTGACCGACAGTCCAAAGGGGTCAGGCTCATCAGGGTGGCAGGCGCTGAAGGCTGGGGGTGGCACTGGCCCTGTCCTGGAAAGGCTGTCTAGGGCCGCAGCACTGGCAGGGGAAGCGCCGTCCCGGGGCCGTGGCCAGGCTTCAGGGTCTGGGAAGGCCTCTGAGGAGGGAGAGGTGCCCTGTGTTTACCGGGTCTGCTACCCCTTCTCCCAAGGTTGGTGGCTGTCACCAATCAGCTCCCACTGAGAGCTCCTCAGTGCCTCCTGCTGCCAACGCTCAGAGCCTGCAGGAATGCTGAGAAATCCAGGCAGAACCGCCAACCAACACTTCCCTTGCCACATCAGGCCTGAGGTGCGGGGCACTGGCCCACCGATGCTGGCCTTCGGGACACACGGACCAGCCCTCCCTCGGTGTCCACAGCATGCCCATGCTCGGATCAACACAGTGGTCCCCTGGTATCCCCTGGGTGGAGTGGGGGATAGGTCATACCCATAACGTCTATCACTCCAATCCCAGCACTTTGGGAAGCGATGTGAGCAGATCCCTTGAGCTCAGGAATTCCAGACCAGCCTGGGAATGACTAAGACCCAGCCTCTACTGAAAATCAAACAGTTACCCAGGCTTGGTTGTGCACACCTGTAGTACCACCTACTCAGGAGGCTAAGGTAAAAGGATCACTTGAGCCCAGGAGTTTGAGGTTGCTGTGACCTATGATGATGCCACTAAACTGTAGCCTGGGTGACAGAGTGAGATCTTATCTCTTAAAAAGAAAAAGTATCCGGCTTGGCACCTATAGAACAGTGGTTACAGCGCCGGCCACATACCTCCAGGGTGGCAGGTTCGAACCCAGCCTGGGCCAATTAAGCAACTGCAACAACAAAAAACAGCTGAGCATTGTGGTGAGCGCCTATAGTCCCAGCTACCTGGTAGGCTGGGGTGCTCTCTTAAGCCCAAAAGTTGGAGGTTGCTGTGATGCCATGGCACTCTACCCAGGGTGACAGTAGGATTCTGTCTCAGAAAAAAAAAGAAAGAAAAAAAAGTATCCATGTAAAAAAAAGTTGAATTAGATCCCTACCTTACCATACATAAAAAATAAAATTTTACATGTCTAAAAGACCTAAGTATGTGGCTCGGTGCCCGTGGCTCAGTGGTTAGGGCACCAGGGCACATACACTGAGGCTGTTGGGTTGGAACCCAAACTGGGCCTGCTAAACAAGAATGACAACTGCAATAGAAAAATACCCTGGCCTTGTGGCAGGCACCTGTAGTCCTAGCTACTTGGGAGGCTGAGGCAAGAGAATCGCTTAAGCCCAAGAGTTTGAGGTTGCTGTGAGCTGTGACATCACAGCACTCTATCAAGGGGCAACATAATGAAACTCTCTCTCAAAATAAAAAAAAAAAAATAAAGACCTAAATGTGAAAAGCAAATCTTTAGAGCTTAAAATATTACAGACACACACACACACGCTGGGCTACATATGTGATATATATTATAAAATTATATTATAAAATTTTTTTGTCCACAGGCTAAAGAAGGATTCCTTAAATAAAACCCAAAATTAGTATGGAGATTCCTCAAAGAACTAAAAGTGGACCTACCATTTGATCCTGCAATCCCTCTACTAGGTATTTACCCAAAGGAGAAAAAGACATTTTATAAAAAAGGCACTTGTGGCCAGGTGCAGTGGATCACCTGCTCACACCTGTCATCCTTGCACTCTGGGAAGCCGAGGCAGGTGGATTGCTTGAGCTCACAGGTTAGACACCAGCCTGAGCCACAGCAGGACCCTGTCTCTAAAAATAGCTGGGCATTGTGGCAGGCGCCTATAGTCCCAGCCACTTGGGAGGCTGAGGCAAAAGAATTGTTTAAGCCCAAGAGTTTGAGGTTCCTGTGAGCTGTAATGCCATAGCATTCTACCAAGGGTGACAAGTGAGACTCTGTCTCAAAAAAAAAAAAAAAGCCACTTGCACACAAATGTTCATAGCAGCCCAATTCATGATTTCAAGGACATGGCAACAATCCCAAGTGTCCGTTGATACATGAGTGGATTAACAAATGTGGTATACATATACCATGGAGTACTACTCTGCCATAAAAAAGATGGTGACCTGGGCAGCACCTGTGGCTCAAAGGAGTAGGGTGCCAGCCCCATATGCCAGAGGTGGCGGGTTCAAACCCAGTTCTGGCCAAGAAAAAAAAAACTGCAAAAAAAAAAAAAAGATGGTGACCTGATATCTTTTGTAACAACCTGGATGGAGATGAAAACTATCTCCTAAGTGAAGTATCAAAAGAATGGCAAAACAAACACCACGTGTTCTCAATACTGAATTGGAACTAGTTGATCAACACCTATGTGCTCATAGGGAAGCAAAACTCAGTGAAATTTGGGTGGGGGAAAGGGATAAGAGGAAGGGGAAATTCCCACCCAACAGGCACCTTAAATGGGTTCCTTACACACTTTCTGGCTGAGGGGCACACCTATAACTTTGACCTAAAATTTACAAAAGCAAACTATGTAGCCAAAATGTATATACCAACTCACAGGCCTGTGGGAGGTCACTTTAGGGAGGGGTGTCTTACCCCAAGGGCTACCAAACCAGAAAATGAAACCTTACTGCCCCAGACAAAGAGGAGGGCAGGGACAAGGCTACAGGATGATTCCACAGATCAGAGGCCCGATGGAGCGAATGTATCTGAAAACATTCTACTACCACTTTGACAACAGACCCTACCTCTCTCGTCGCAATGATACCTGGCTGTGCTTTGAGGTGAAAACAACCAGCAGCAACTCACCTGGCTCCTACAGTGGGGTCTTTCGAAATCAGGGCCCTCGATCTTGTCCTTGGCACACAGAGCTGTGCTTCCTGACCTGGGTCAGGCCCTTGCTGTCCCATCACGACTGCTACCAGATCACCTGGTACATGTCCTGGAGTCCCTGTGACAACTGTGCGGGGCAAGTGGCCTCCTTTCTGGCCACACATGAAAATGTGAGCCTGACCATCTACACTGCCCGCATCTACTACTTCTGGAAACAGGATCACCGCCAGGGGCTGCTCAGGATGATTGAGGAAGGGACCCAGGTGTACATCATGTCCTCTAAAGAATTTCAACACTGTTGGGAGAACTTTGTGGACCATTGGGGAACGTGTTGGGTCACACGTTGGAACAGACTGAAGAAAAATTATGAGTTCCTGGTCACCAAGCTGAATGAAATTCTCAGTGACCCGATGAAGCGAATAACTCCAAACACATTCTACAACCAGTTCCACAACAGAACTGGTCAGAAGGACACCTGGCTGTGCTTTGAGGTGAAAGAAAAGGAGAATAGCAACTCATCTGGCTCCTGTCCCAGGAGAGGGGTCTTCCGAAACCAGGTCTTTTCCAAGACCACCTCTCATGCCGAAGTGGGCTTCCTGACTTGGTTCCAGAAGGAGATGCCCCCTAACCACCACTATGAGGTCACCTGGTACACATCCTGGAGTCCCTGCGCTCGCTGTGCATGGCACGTGGTTAACTTTCTGACCAGTAACCCAAAAGTGAGCCTGACCATCTTTGCTGCCCGCCTCTACTACATATATCGCCCAGAAATACAGCAGGGCCTTCGCAGGTTATTTCAGGAAGGGGCCAGAGTGCACATCATGTCCCTTAAAG